ATATTTTTCAAATTATTTTTAAACGTGAAATTGACTTTTCAGTTAACTATTCTTTTATTATAAAACTGCTTTTACTGTTGCTGTTGAATTGCTTCGCTATTCTATCTCATTAGTTATTTTTCTTTTATTTTTAGTCGAACTTTTTACATATACTGAGTGCTTCTTAAAATGTTCCAAAAATATGCGAAGCGTATATCTTATGTAACTTTTGATTTGAAATTATGGAATTCAATTTATATACATTATGGTTTTATTTATTTATACTCAAACAATATTTTGTAATTACACAAATGCACTGTAAAAATTTCCGGATCAAACTGCAGTAAAAAGTACCGGTACTCTGGGTGCCAGTACATTTTGCCGTAAAAAGCATTTTCAATTTCAAAAAATCAGAAGTACCGTAATTTTACAGTAATACTTATTATAAAATTACTGAATAGCTGTAATTAAAAAATATATAAAAGTTACATTATAAAAGTTTTGGTAAAAATAAATTTTATGATGTAAGGGGGTTTTATGGGTACTTCTCTTAGGGTACCAGTACTTTTTGCCGTAATTTGATCCGAAATTTTTCAATGTAGTTCATAGAATTTTTCACGAAATTTTAAGTTTCAAGGTTTGGAGATGTAACAGTTTTAAATCTTTGACAGATCTAGTGATCGAAGAACTTTTTCTTTGATTTCAACTTATTTTGCTAGCCAACATACACCGAAGAGCCATTACATTATGACCCCCCTCCATCTATAACAATGGACTCGCCTAGATTTTCATGGTTTCTCGCCCAGGAACAATGTTTTCATGGGGCACAATAGGACCCATAATCCTCATAGAACAATCCCTGACATCTGTAAACTACTTGAACATAGCTGCAGACCAGGCTCACCCATTCATGGCAACAGTTTTTCCTGCGGGGAATGGTGTTTACCAACAGGATAATGCACCATGTCATAAGGGTCGAATCGTCGAGGAGCATTCCAGTGACTTTCAAGTCATGTCTTGGCCCCCAAATTCACCTGATCATAATCCAATAGAGCATTTGTAGTCCTACTTGGAATGGAAAAACAAATTCGTGCTGCCACGCTACCCCCTCGCAATATGAGGGAATTGCAGGACCAGTTGGTGAGCGCTTGGTACCAGATACCTCAGACTACCTATCAGCACCTTGTGGAATCAATGCAACGGCGGTTGCTAGCAGTTTTGAGGGCTGAAGGTGGTCCTACTTGTTATTAGCAGGGTGGTCATAATGTAATGGATCTTCGGTGTATACTTTCAATAGAAAATCGGTTCATCGTGAAACCGTAACACGATGCAAATTTGCGTAATTAAATTGAATTATATTTCCGGTGAACGCTCCAATATTTGCGACTATATTTCCGATTCGTAAATCATATTTCAGTTCCATTGAAATTTGAGCCGACGTAAAATGTAATCAAGATGAAGAAGTACTATTATATGTTTAAATTTAGCACTATTTTAAGATTGCAGCAAATTTAAACAATATTATGATTCCATTCAGCTCCAAAAATTTTGACATAATAGGCAATGATATTTATATATCTTGCGTTCAATTACGAGCTTGAATTGAAAGTTTGGTTTTTATGACTTCATAAAAAGCTATCATGTCGCGATCAAAAGCTATTTGTCATCCTGTCCATTCGAGGTTATTTTTTATTCTGCTTTCTAAGGAGTCCCCGAAAATACTTTCTCAATGTCGGAATTTAAAATAAAAATAGTTAAAAATTTCATAATATATTTTTCAAATATTTTTACTACTTCTGATGATATTCTTTTGCGTGGTTAAAAATTAAATACAATAATTCTTTTTTTTTAAATTAAAAAATTATTTGAGAAAATTTGATCTCTTTTGCTTTACTTAAAGCATGTATAGCCTCTTAATAGTCATTAATACCATGCTAAAAAATTTAACAATTTTAAATTTAATTTTGTTTTAATTTAATAAAAATTCAATGAAATTTTTTATGCATTTAAAACAATTTAAATTTAATTTTATTTTAATTTAATAAAAATTTAATAAAATTTTTATGTATTTAAAACAATACACAAAAATTTTTATTAAATTTTTATTAACAACTCAAATTTAAAAAAATTAAAATTTAATTCAACAAAATTTTTTGAGCACTTTTAGGATTTTTTATAAAGTAATGAGGAGAAGCTTTGATCATTCAGGGAATATTATGTAAAAATTAAAAATGTTAAGTAATACTATTTCGTTTTAGTGGCACTAAGAAACTCAATTGGAATTTGATGTCATAAATACATTTATGACAATACATAAATACAATTGGTGTTTGCCTGAAACAAACAATAAAAACAAACGATATTTTATCTAATCTTTTTTATGTTCACTATGGAATGTTGACTATGTTCTTCCCTTCTACGTTATGTCCAGGAAAAATGTTCATGATGTGAAAATGATGTAAATTTGTTCCTTTTACACATTAATAAATTTGTTTTTTAAAAAACCTATCTGAAAACTTTGACAAGAGGACCAAGATGATCAGAAAGCGGTAATGGTCTTTCCATTTGGAAGCAGAGACAGCTATTGATACCAACTGCTTTTTTAAAATTCTTATATGATTAAGGGATACATTATTCGCAATGTAAATTTACTAAGTGTTTTATAATATGTGACTTTAAGTATTGATATTTCGAAAAAAGAAATAAAAAGATTTTATTGACTCAAAAAAGTATATGCTGAATAAACAATTCAAGTATTACTTTTGAGTGGATTATATGCTTTTATAAGTTAGTGAAAAGATAAAGCAATAAATTGCAAAATTACCACAATAAAATAATACAAACTAGATGCATTTTCAGAACCTAATTATGTTTGAAATGTTTTTTGTTCTTTTTAGTTGTGCGAACAAAACTTATTTATGGTTTAAACTATACGAGCTTCAGTTTATAGAATTTACAGGTTATTAAACTACTTTCGCAACAACTATCACACTCCAAATGCTAATATAGATTTCCTTTTAATTTGAGTTCTTATTTCAATAGGAATAATTCTTTCAAACCATAAAACGGACAAAAATTTCTGCATAATGAGAATACAATGTGATGCATTGTTTCCTGCGGTCGCAGTTTTCACTTGTCCCAGACAACAATAAAATATTATACGTAAAAATAGTCAAGCTTCTGACTATCCTTTGTTACAGAACGATTATAAAAATTTATTTTATGATATAATATGCAAATATATGATGCTTAACTATCATTTATATTCAAGATATAACACGTAATGTAATATTACACCGAAAATAGCACTTAAAAGGGATTTAGAGATTTATCAAAGGATTATCAGGATTATTGTTCAAAATATATGCACTTTTGTTATTTCAAAATAACTAAAAATGTAGGTTGTTTAAGTATGATTAGTCATTTATAATTTCGTTTCATAGAAATATTGCATTAATTCATTTGTAAATTCATTGAATTTATTTGTAAAAGAGGTGATGTGTAAGCAGTATATACTGTTATTTAAAAGAAATTTTATCTTAAAAACTTAAAAAAGAGTTAGTTAGTTACTACTGCATTGGATTAACTATGCGAACATTTAAATTATAAAATGAAATAAAAATTTAAAAAAAAAACTATGTTTTTTTAAATAGGTTAAAAAAGAAAAAATAATTCTTTGTCAGACGCAGTAAGGAAAGCGTAGGGTGCATTACGTTAGAAAGACAAGGGGTGAGAGACGTTATAGTGGTAATAAAAAATAATTGCAAAAGTGATGCAATCACTTTTCTTTATTTCAGATCTGCCTTTTAGGTACAAAAAAGTCATTTTATCCCTTTTTTTTTGATTTGAAAAAGCTTACTTTCTAATTTTTGTAATATTTTCAGATCTATGTCTAATAGTTTGTTTACGTTAGAAAGTAGTTTAAATCCAATTAGCAATAAAATGGCGAAAAAATTAGTTTACAGCATTCAAGAAAAAATTGTAAATGATATTGGCGCAGACTCATCTCTCCAGATGAAATTTGAGCCCTCTTGCTACTCGGTAAATTGAATACCCAATTTTGCGTACCAATTAGCGTACCCAATCAGCCAATCAATACCAATCAACGTACCTAATTTTGGGTGAACGACTACTAATGTTCAACTCCATAACCTTGTAATTTTGAACCCAATCCAGAAGACAAGGGAACTTCTGGGTCAAATATTGGAGAAATTTGCCTTCGAAGAGGACTTTTTTTTACGGAACTAACCAGTATTTGCGTTACACTGAGAGGAAAACCACAAAGAGTCTTATGGTTAGCCTGATTGCAAGGGGACTCCAACCAGGATCTGTCTACCACTGAGGATATTTTACGTCAACACTGTGGTCGGTGTGAGCCGGGTGCGGAATTCGTATCAACTTACCATCGCTGGAATTCGAATCCGTTTGAAGGCGAACACTCTATCCCCTGAGCCACTACGGCTCAGTAAATTGAATTGTAGAATTTTTGAATGATGCTAAATTCTATTTTTCGATAACTTGGCGATATAAAGTTCGATTAAAGTAGTGAAGAAACTATTGAAGCTTGTATTGTTATCCAGCACAGATCAGCAATTCAGTTATGAATTCAACTAAATGAAAAAAAAACTAAATGAATTTTTGAAACTAAATGAATAAAACTAAATAAATTTTTTAAAAAAATAATTCACTGAAGGTAAAAAATTAAAGTTTTGCAGTTTCTTTTAAAAAATGCAGTATCATTTAGTTGAAAATAAATCCCTATAAATAAACTAGGTAAGAAAACGTCATATTTGCGAATAAAAACAGACTAAACTAAGTTAAAAATATAAAAAGTGTTAATTTAGAACTATGACACAAGTGTGAGGCAGCAATGTCACAATTGTTTCAACCTTGAAATAAATTATCTTAGTCTGGAGCTGAGCTACCTAAACCTTTGTACTCGCGTGTGAGTTAAAATTTTATAACATTTTTATGTTTTGCGAAATTTAATAAACATTTCGGAAATCTTTAATCCAACGATATAAAATATGGTCAGTAGCCAACTATTTTTAATGAACACTTTGTGGAGTTTCACTATTATTATACTAGGAAAAAAGTTTCAAGGAGAAATTGCGTAAAATTTTTTATAGTCTTCATTTTTGTTCTTGAAAATAAAACATAATGAGAATCTGCTTTATCAGAACTAATATTTGTTTCCTCAGTTTTTATTGGTAGCCCGTATTTTTCAGTTGTTCGTCTTTTTTACACAATAACACCTACTAATATTGTTGGTAAGACTGAACTACGAACAAGTTGCAATTATATGGAAGAAAATGAGAGTTAGGTATATCATTTTAAGTAAGTGCTTTTTATTATTTCATAACTTTTGGAAATGTTGTTAGTTTTATCTGTTTTCAAACTGCTATTGAAGCATTCATGTTATATTTCAAACATTAAAAGCTTGATTCTATAAAAGATTCTAAATTAAACCTCCTAAGACCTTACAATTGAAACCAAAATGAAATGTTTAAAAAATCGATATCGAATGATTTTCTATTCTTACTGAAAGAGCGGTCAATTTCGCCGCCTGAGTAACTTCGGGCATTCTCTACTATATACTTTAGGTGACAAAAAAAACCCAGCCTTATATATATATATATA